CTCCTGAATTTGTGTAGAAGAGAAAAAACGACATAAGCATAAATTTCTGGCGCTCCGCGCGGATGTCCTGGATCTGCGTCGGAAGACCCCTCCCCGGCGCGCGCAGCGCGCCAGAGGCGGCGCCTGGGGCGCCGCCGGGGGTGCCCAGCGCAGATCCAAGAGATCCGCGCCGAGCGCCAATGTTTGTGACGTTTTCTTTTCTTCGATGATTCGCTGTGCCCGCTGTGGAGCGAGTCCCCCTCGGGCAGGGCACCCTGCGGTGCCAACGGCACGGGGGCCAGGAGGGGCGGCAGCGCCGCCCCCTCGGGAAAAGGGCCACAGAACAGGACCCCACGGGCGGCTGATCGCCCATCGACCTGGCAGGGTGCCGCTCCCACCAATCCCCGACGAGAAGGCCTCGCCCAAGCCCTGCCCAGCCAAATGCCTTCCCAGAAGCCCCCAGGCCCCTTGCAAGACGCACCCTCCGTACCTCATCTTCTGTCGCATGGCGGGCCCCCGCAAGTCCCAGAAACACTGAAGGGGCCCACAAACATACAATAAATACACAAATAACCGGATTCCCTATATTTTTCCCTATTATCTGGGTTTTTGTCTTCACCCCCACTTCCCATATGTTCCCATGTTTCCCTGATAACTGTGTCTGTGTGTTTCTTTCCCTCCTGAAACACACGCGGACCGCTTCCTCATCCTGATCGATGTTTGTCGGCGGCCCGTGGGCCCAGCAAGGCCCCGGGGAAGCCGCACATGGAGAGAAGAAAGAAAGCCTTCCGCCGTGACGCTTGTCACGGCGAAGAGTGAAGGGGCCCTGGGGCACACAAATAGACGCACACAAATAAAAGGGTTCCCAATATTTTCCCATATGTTCTTGCTTTTTGTCTTCCCCCCCACTTCCCATATTTTTCAATATGCTCCTGGGGATCGACGATTCATTGTGTCTGTGCTTTTTTCTCCTCCTGAAAGAGATCTGGTCAGGACCAGTCCGCATCGCATGGGGGAAACGGATGAAATCGAAACGTGCGTCGGATCGGGCGGCATCGTCACGGAATCGGCATCGAATCGGATCGGCTGCGCCAGGATACGCAACGGCGACGTTGCACGCATCGGGCCGACTGGGACCGCCCAAAGATCGGAATCGAATCGCACCGAGCCAGGAGAGATTGGTATCGAACTGGGTCGATCCAATACAGGGTCAAGACTCTGTTTCTGGGCTACTCGTGGGGTGCGTCCTGACAGAATTTCGAGGCGGACCCGGCCGTTTGGACGAGGAACCCCCTGGAGGCGCAAATCGACAGAAAAACGTGTAACTAACTCGCACCTCGGAGTGCGGAATGGACCCTGACCTCGGCCTTCAGGGCAGAACTAGAAGCCTCCTAGATGGGGTCCGAGCAGATGAGCTCGGAGAACGTCGCCTCGTCGATGCATCGGCGATGCGGCACGATCCTCCCACCCCATCTACTCTTAGGTCGGGCATGTCCTCCTACAGGCGGCTTTTGAAAGAAAATGTATACAAGTAGCCCGAACAACAGAACTAGTCAAAAGAGTACGAACCATCGCCATCAGACTATTTTTGTTACTATTCTTGAATCGTCCTCCTGTAGAGGAACATGCCCGACTTAAACCTACTGCGACCGCATGTGGAAGGCCTAGAACACAGTCGGAGTTTATTGGAGAGGACACGCGAGATGACACTGAACGCGCCGGGCACCCCCCGGAAGACGCCGCCGTTAGGTCGGGCATGCCCTCCTACAGGCGGATATTGGGCGAAGAATGCAAATAGTCAAAAATTATCGAAACTGGTCGAAGATAGTCGAAAAATCGTCCCCTGACTATTTTTTGGCTGTTTTCGAATACTCCTCCTGTAGAGGGACACGCCCGACTTGACGCTGCCGGCGAGGCGCCGCTGTGCCCGACCCCGCGCCTCGAGGCCGGAAGGCCGCCGAAGCGGGGGGGCGGGAGCGCCCGGAGCCCTCGGCCCCTGAGCCTCGACAGAGGCCTCCTGGGATGGGGGCCTGCCAGACTTAGCTGCCCCGATACGCAACACGCGACACGTAGCGTATTGATACGGAGCTCAACGCGTGGACTGAAAACGTGGGTCCTTCGCGAGACGTTCGCCAAAACGTGGGCCTATACGTGGAGCCAACACGCAACGTATTGACACGGACGTCTTGAACACGGCACGTGTTGCGTATCAAAACGGGCGTGTCGAGGCAGCTAAGCTGCTAGACAGGCGCTCGATTCGCCTCATAAGCGCCCTGGGCGTATTCGTTAGCGTTTTCTGCTGTGGGCTCCTGACAGGCAGAGAGTGCTAAAACAAGGCTGCATACGTTGTGTTGGAGATTTTGGGGCAGCTGTGTTGGCGTTGCTTCGATGTCTGTTTGGCGCGTTCAGGCTGAAAGCGCTGAAGCCATGTCTGAAAACGCGAAAGCAACGCATCATTTGTTTTGCGTTGTTGTTTCTAGTTGAGACCTGAAAACGCTTGAAACAATGCTTTCCAAGAAGCCGAGCTGAAAACACCAAAGAAACGCCATGGGCATACATAAGGCAAACCAGGGGTCGAAGGATCGCGCCGACGTCGCCAATGCATCGTCGACGATGCGTCGCCGATACCTCGCCAATGTATCGGCCGCCGAGAACGGACGGGAGCGCCCGAAACCTTCGGCCCTCGAACCTCGGTAGAGGCCTCCTAGATGCAGGTCGTGCATAGTTGGAAACTCGTCCCAAGACTGGCTGTCCCCAGACTATTTCTCGACCGTTCTTGAATATTCCTCCGGTACGAGGGGCACGCCCGATTTAATCCGACGTGGGATGCGAGTAGATGGGGTCGAAGGATCGCGCCGCATCGCCAATGCATCGCCGATGCGTCGCCGATACATCGGCGATGTATCGGCGATGCATCGGCGACGCGTCGGCGATGCGTCCGCGACGTGGCTCCACACCGAGCTGCATCGCCGACGCATGGGCGATGCGGCGCGATCCTCCGACCCCCATCCACTCGGACCCCCTCTGGGGAACCTAACTAGAGCTAGGTCGGGCATGATTTGGGGAGAAAAATTCAAAGATTCGAACCATACCCACTTGTTTTGAGAAATGGTAAAACAAATCGTCCCTAAACTATTTTTTAACTATTTTTGAATACTCCTCCTGTAGAGGACACGCCCGACTTAACACAAGAGAACCTCGGCCTTGCCTGGGTCGCCCAGGCCTTGGATGCTCCTTCTGGGACCTTCCTGGAGACACTCGCTCCACTCATGCGTCGAAGCTGCGTCAAAGTCCGTCGATTTGAGTCGACCTCGCGCCGACCCTGAGTCGAACCTGAATTGAACTGGCCTTTGGCGCTCCGCGCGGATTTCTTGGATTCGCGCCGGAACCCCCTCCCTTGCGCGCCAGGGGCGGCGCCGGAGGCGCCGCCAGGGGGGCCCAGGCGCGGATCCAAGAAGTCCGCGCGGAGCGCCAAAACTTGCTGTTCGCGTGGTTACTTCTTCTTCTTCTTCTTCTTCTTCTTCTTCGAGGCCCTGCCTGGGTCGCCCGCGCCGAGGTGCCCTCCCCAAAATGCGGCCGGTGCCGCCCCGCTCGGCGGCGGAGACCTGCGACTTCCAGATGGGAACGGGACCCGCCGCGGATCCGCGCCCCCCTCGAGCCATGCGTCTGCCATCGCTGGGGTCGCCCGCGCCCCTTGCGCGCGCCGCCGGGCCTTCTTGATCGCGGTGTCGTCCACGAGCTCGTCCTCGGCCGGCCGCTTGCCGGCCGCGGCGTCTGGCGCCAGGGCCTTGGGCGCGCCCGCGGGGCCCGCCGCCGCCGCGCCCACGCAGTTCGCCGACGCCAGCATGACGCTGTCCTCGGAGGCTGCCAGGCCCACATTTCGGTCGGGCGTGTCCCCCTGCAGGGGGATTGTGGACGAAGGAAAATAAAAGCGGTCCAAAGATGCTCCGAGATGGGTCACAACTGGTGCAAGAAAGTCGTCCCTGTACGACTTTCGGACTGTTTTTGAATATCCTCCTGTAGAGGGACAGGCCCGACTTAAGCCCACATCTCCAACGATCTGCTGCGCTTCCGTCCAGGCGTCAAAACGGCATAGACAGAACCTGTCGGAAGTCTGCGCGGACTTCTGGGATCGGCGCTGGGCCAACCTGACGACACCTCCGGCGCCGCCCCTGGCGCGCTCCGAGCGCCAGGGAGGGGGGTCCAGCGCCGATCCAAGATACCCGCGCGGACCTTCGAAAGCTTCTGTGCATGACTTGTTTTTTGTTATTCGATGCTCTGCAGATTTAGGACCCTGGGCCCAATTTTGAGCCCCGGGGCCATCGAAAACGGATCCAGGATCCTCCTCCTCCTCCTCCTCCTCCTCCTCCTCATGCCCTCCCTTCCCCGCCTCCCCCTCCCTCTCCTCCTCCTCCTCCCTATCGTCTTTCCTCCTCCTCCTCCTCCTCCTCCTCCCTCCTCCTCCTCCTCCTCCTCCTCCTCCTCCTCCTCCTCCTCCTCATCCTACTCATCCTACTCCTCCTCCTCGAGAAGCTGGCCCCGGGGAGGAGGGAGGAGGGAGGAGGAGGGAGGAGGAGGGAGGAGGGAGGAGGGAGGAGGGAGCTCTGGAGGCCACCCGGGCCACCCTGGCGGGGAAAGCTGGGGCCACCCCCGGCCAGCGACACGCACTTCTGGCCACGCCCGGTGTCCGGAGGCGGCACCACCCTGGCGGTCTTGGACGCCTCCTTCAGCTCGTCCTGCACGGCCTTGTTGCGGTCGACCCCCTCCGCCACGGCCGGCTTGATCGGCATCTTGGACGGGTCTGGCAGGTCCTCGACGTGCGCGGCCCAGATCAAGAACGCCTCCGCGAGCGCCAGCGCGCGGTCCGCGTCGCCGGCGGTGTACTTCAGGCCTGGGATGCCGTCCCGCGAGTCTCGCGGGTAGCGCGCGCCCAGGTAGCTCGCCTTCAGCCACATGATGTCGGCGTCGGTGCCGGGCACCTAAGGTATCGTCTAGACGATCCCCACAGGCCCCACTGGCATGGCATTGGCCCTCCTGGGACCCCCCAAGGTGGTCATGTACGCTGAACCCCTCGGGCTTCGCGGGACCTGCCCACACCTGGGGGAGTGGCCTGGCTGGTTTCCCTTTCGGTCTGGGTCAGGGGCTGCGGCCCGCAGGCCTCAGGTGGGATGCGCAGAGACATACTAGCACTCTAGTACGATATGTCCTCCATGGAGGCGCGCGTCCGACCCGAACATATGGTATACCCATCTTGTAGTATCTCGTTTCCCGAGCGGTGTGGCAAGAAAGCGCCCGCCACGACGCACATACTGTAACAAGTTTCTCGGTGGGCGCACCCTACAGGCGGAGTATGGGCGAAAAATGAAAGGTACTAAAAAAAATACCCCCAGATAGCTAGAACAGAATCAACAAATCGTCCCCGGATGATTCTTCGACTATTTCCGAAGAGTCCTCCTGTAGAGGGACAGGCCCGACGTAAGGCTGGGCATCGGCCAGGCCGTGCGGGGCACCAGCTGCGCGCGCCGCTGCTCCTCGGTGTTGACCGCGGTCGCGACCAGCCGGCGGATGAAGCACTCGACGTCGTGCGCGGCGCCTCCGGTGACCTCGTCCTCGGCGACGCCGCACGTGCGAAGCATGGCGGACTTCACCTGGCAGGAGATAGGCGCGGCGCGCCCCCGGGGGGGAAGGTGCGACGGGGCGGGCCTTCTGAGGAGGCTCGGGGGTTCCCGGGCCTTCTGAGGAGTTGCCTCCAAGCCTTCCCCGAAGACACAGGCAAGCACTCGGGAGGCGCGAGGGGTTCTGAGAGGTCCCGCCGCCTCCCGAGAAGGCCTTCTCCTTCTCACTTCCCCCCCCCCCAGACGCAGCGCCGAAGTTGGTCTGCGGGTCATAACTCGGTTCCCTGGCGGCCAAGCGGGACGATCCCCAGGCAACCACGGAACGCCCTCGGCGAGGCGCAGCTGTTGGCAAGCATCCCGAGGCTGGAAAACGCCTAGAACCAACGAAACCGTCCAAAACCTCGAACCTCGAACCTCGAACCCGAAAGTTTCCCCTTCCCTCGCTCGCCGCCGATATCTAAGGGCCCCCTGTCCCATCCCTTGGGGGCGGCCAAGGGGGGGGGGGCGATGACTACGGGAGGGGGGGGGGAGACAATCCTAAAATGGCACAACCCCTCTTCTGCTTCGAGCGCTCCCCACCCGAGAGCGCGAGGGGCGGGGAGGCAAGGGCCGGGAGATCACCCCCGGGGAGTGCGCCGCAGCACACTCCGGGCCTGGCGGTCGCGAGGTCTGCCAGGGTCTGCGAGGCGGGCGGGGAGCCACTCCCCATGGAGCTAAGATAGGGGAACAAGCAATGGCATAAGCATAAAAACTCGGAGGTCCGTGCAGGTTCCTCGGACCAGCGCTGGGGCCCCCTGGCGGCGTCTCCGGCGCCGCCCCTGGCGCGCTCCGATCTGAGAAATCCGATCTGAGAAATCCGCGCGGACCTCCGAGTTGTTATATCTGTGTCACCCCGATTGGATCGAAGAACCCCAATCTGTCGGGCGGGGAATGAAACTTTGAGCGCACTTCTTCTTCGCGGCCATAACGGGCGTTATGGGGGGGGGAGGTGTGGGGGGGGAGACAGGGGAAGGGGGGGCATAACGTAGCGCCCCTCCCCCACCGAGACTGTGGTGCCGGACGCATTGCGGCAGTGGTGCCCTGGACGCGCTGAGGGGGGGAGCGTTACTTTATGGGGGGGTGGTAGGGGGGGGGGAGTGGAGGGGGCATAACGCGCGTTATGGCCCAGAGGAGAACCCCAACCTGTCGGATGTGGAATGCAACTTCCGGAGGCTCGCGCGGATTTCTCGGATCGGCGCTGGAGGCGCCGCCAGGGGGACCCAACGCCGATCCAGCAAGTCCGCGCGGACCCTCGAAAGTCTGAGTCTGTGCCGTTGCTTGCTGGTGCTATTCCTCTCAGGTGACCGCCATCTCGACCACCTGCTGGCTGTGCCACACCCCGGCGGAGGGCAGGCTCCGCAGGTCGCCCGCGGGGCAGACCATCCTCTTCGCGGCCACGAACTCCAGGCGTGCCTGCTGGAGCCACTTGGGGGCCTGTGTGCGGTCGATGATGCGGTTGCCGAACATCTTACCATCGGTCCTCTCGTACTCCTGCCAGTGCGAGGTGTCGCCTACCAGCTGTACCCTGGGGGCGATGACTTCTGGCCCGGCCTTCGTCTTGGCTTTGGCGGTCTTTGCCAGCGCCGATTGCTCCATTTCGCGCTGGAACTCGTCGAACCACGATCCCATGGAGCCCTCCTGCTTCTCGTACTGCCGCCCTGGCAATGGCAAGATCGGGCCTTTCCCCTTGTCCTCGCTGGTCTCCTCCTCCTTGTCCAGCCAGGTGTCGTCCCCGACGTTCTCCCCGGCCTGCTTCCTCTTGAACCAGTTCTCGTGCCGCCGCAGCAGGAGGAACACCTTGTTGGCAACTGGCGTGTCTCCCACCTTGTCCGGGTGCCAGGTCTTGAAAAGCCTCCTCATGACCAGCTTGTAGTCCTCGGGGGGCATCCTGCTCATTTCGCGGAGGTAAGCCTTCACCTCGATGATGTGTTTCGCGTCATCCGTGTTCTTGTCGCCTGTTTCTGTCATGTCGCGGACCTTGCCGTCCACGGCTACCAGGTCGGTGGACATCGCCACCGCGCCGCCAGCGCTGCCGCTGCTACCCGCGCCGCCCCCCTTGGGCTTGCTGTTGGGCTGGATCTTGTAGACCTCGAAATGCTTCCTCGTCTCGAAGCCGTCCGCGGACACCCGCACCAGGTATGACCGGTTCAGGCCCACGCCCTGCTTGGAGCCTTCGGGCCACCTCGCCACCTCGCCGATGACGAACTTGTCCCCCACCAGGATTGTCACATTCTCGCCTGCGCCACCAAAAACCCATACACAGACACCAGCCAGAGAGCTTCTCACGCACATTCAGCGAGGGCGGCAGTGCATTCGCCGGCTCAACGGGCCAAAGGATCTCCGGCAATAGGTTCGAAGTTTTGGTCCATTCCTAGTTCGCGCGCGCGGGGCGGCCCCTGGGGGTCCCCACAGGGAAAGTACTTCCAGACACTCTGTTCAGATATAATTTTCGTCTAATGCGCCGTCCTGTGGCACTACAAGCTGGTTCCAAATGAGTGGCAGGCTCAAAACGACCAAGAAGGGTGGAAGACGGCTTCAGACGGCCTCAAGACGGACCCAGGTGGACCCCAGCCGGCCCTAGAAGCGCCCAAGAGGAGCCCAAGTGGCCCCAAGAGACAAAACTTAGCGATTTTCTATTGGCATTTCCTTTTGGGGGAGAAGAATTCTCGTCTTTTCGCGCTGCCGACAGCCCGAGACGGCTCAAGAGGCCTCCAAGGTCCCCCCAAGGCAGTCCCAGAGGCTCCGAAGATGGCCCCCTGGACTGCCCAAGAGGGCCCCAAGACGGACCAGGAGGCTCCCTGAGAAGCTTCAAGAGGCCCCTGTTTGTTTCTGATTGGAACCTGATCCCTTCGTCTGCGATGTTGGCGCTCACATATGAGAACATATCAGGTCATTGGCTGGCCCCCAGCTTCAGGAATGTCACAGATGCGAGGCGCGGGCGACGCAAGTTGGATAGTTTGTCATGTGTGTCCATCGTTCGGGCCCCCCAGGAGAGCTCAAGAGGGCCAACAGCGCCCAAAAAGACAGCCCCAAGAGACCCCCAAACGGCCTCGAGGGCATTCCAAAGAGGCCCCAAGAGGCTCCAGGAACCTACAAAAATTACTCCAAAGGCCTCCCGACAGGCTCCAAGAAGCCTCCCAAACAGGCAGGCGGAATGAGTAAAGTAGTCCATTGATCTGTACGCTACCACCCTCCCCTGAGGTCTGCAGAGAAGCAAATAACTGCATACACACAAACGTTCGGAGGTCAACGGGATGTTTTGTTCATCGGCGCGCGCGTCATCCCAGGGGCGGCGCCAGAACTGCCGCCCGGGGGGTCGAGCGCGGACCCAGAAAATCCATGTACGTGGCAACTTTTGCCATTCGGGCCCAAGAGCGGTCCACTTGCGAATGCTTGTGAAGAGGAAGCAGAATGGTGAATATATTCATCTATATACATATATACATACATACATACATACATACATACATACATACATACATACATACATACATACATACATACATGCATGCATGCATGCATGCATGCATGCATGCATGCACACACACATACATACACACATACACACATACATACATACATACATACATACATACATACATACATACATACATACATACATACGTACATACATACATACATACAAACGTACATACATACATACATACATACATACATACATGCATGCATGCATAGATACAGACAGACAGACAGACAGACAGACAGACAGACAGACAGACAGACAGACAGACATGCATGCATACATACATACATACACCACATTCCACTACATTACATTAACCTACACTACATTACATCACATGGCACTACACTGCATTAAATGGCATTACAATACATTGCAACACAATACCTGACATTCCATTATATTACATTATATCACATTACATTGCATTACATTACCTTACGTTACGTTACATTACATTAACATTACATTACATCACATCACATCACATCACATTACATACATACATACATGAGAGAGAAAGAGAGTGAGAGAGAGAGAGCGCGTGTTCTCCCGCTGCTGGCGGAAAACCAGGGGGGGTCACTGGGGGTTCCCAATCCGCCCCCCCCTCCCCTCCCCTCGAAAACCGGGAAAGAGATCACTACGGGTTCGAACCCCTCCCCCCCCGCAGTACATCATGAAAAGGGGGGGGGTCACTACCGGTTCGAACCCCCCCCCTCGAAAACCGGGGGGGTCACTACCGGTTCAAACCCCCCTTCGCCGCCAGCAAACGATTCCCGCTCCTCGGGACAGTTGGACAATGGTGGGAACGGTGGTGGTGGGGACAGTGGTGCGGGGACAATGGGATCGTGGTGCGGACAGTGGTGGGGACGGTGGTGGTGGGGACAGTGGTGAGGGGACAGCGGGACAGGGGTGGGGACAGTGGGACAGGGGTGGGGACGGTAGTGGTGGGGACAGTGGTGAAAGCGGTGGTGAGAACAGTGGTGGGACAGTAGTACAGTGGGGAGAGTGGTGGGGACAGTGGGGACTGTGGGACAGCACAGTGGGACAGCGGCGGGGACAGCGGGACGGTGGCGGGTACAGTGGGGACAGTGGGACAGTGGTGGGGACCATGGGGAAAGTGGGGAGAGTGGGACCGTGGTGGGACAATGGTGGGGAGAGTGAGGACAGTGAGACACCAGTGGGGGTACTGGTGGGGACAGCGGGGACAATGGTGGGAACAGTGGGGACAGTGGGACAGTGGTGGGGACTGTGGAACATTGGTGGGGACGGTGGTGGTTGGGACGGTGGTGGTGGGGACAGTGGTGTGGGGACAGTGGGAATGTGGTGGGGACAGTGGGAAAACACACCCCAAGAGGTGCACGATTAAAGACGAGAAGGGCGGGTATCGAGGGTTCGGGACATACATGTAGAATGACACGCGAGCAGAGAAGGACGAAGATTCTCAAATGATTGCTGTTGTCGTCGTCTCCCCCGCGGCCAACCCGCGACCCACCCCGGGACCCACCCCGCGACCCACCCCGCGATCCACCCGCGACCCAACCGCGACCTACCCACGACCCACCCACGACTTGGCGGCGGGCGAGGGGGGGAAGTGAGAAGGAGAAGGCCAACTCAGAAGGCGGCGGGGCTTCTCAGAAGAAGCCCAGCGGCCTTCTGAGAAAGTTTCTGCATCCTGGGGGAAGGCTTACACAACTTCTTAGCGAAGGCTGGGGACTTCCGAGCCTTCTGAGACAACCTTCTCCTTCTCAATTCCCCCCCTCGCTCGCCGCCGAACGACCCACCCCGCGCCCGCCCTCTCACTCTTATCCGCTATTGCGGAGTGCTGCGTCGAGACTGAACTCTTGACGCCGGCGCTGTTCGCAAAGGTGATGTCGGGGAAGACGAGCCCCATACGGGGCCCCGTGGGGCCCCAAATCGGGCCAAAATCGGCGCGTTCCCCCAAAACGCCGACCACGGAATCCGTCTTCTGGTTCCCGTCGGCCGAATTTCCGCCCTATGCCCGTACACATATACGTATATAGATATGTGAGTTTATATACGTACACATGGCCGATTCCGGCAACCCTGAACCCAAAAATGTGTTCATCTCTTGGGGGCGAATCTTTTACTTCCGCCGCCATCCGCCGGCCTTCCGGCGGCTTCCGCCGGCGGAGGCGGTCTCGTTCTACTTTCGCCGCCTTCCGCCACCATACCGCCGCCACCATACCGGAAGATATGAAAACTCCTTCAATCCTCGAAGGCGAGGCCATCCTAAGAACGCCCCAAAATTATGTATATGTATATGTCTATGTCTATGTCTATGTCTATGTCTATGTCTATGTCTATGTCTATGTCTATGCCTATGTCTATGTCTATGTCTATGTCTATGTCAATATCTATGTCTATGTCTATGTCTATGTCTATGTCTATGGCTATGTCTGTGTCTATGTCTATGTCTATGTCTATGTCTATGTCTATGTCTATGTCTATGTCTATGTCTATGTCTATGTCTATGTCTATGTCTATGTCTATGTCTATGTCTATGTCAATGTATGATGTATGATGTGTATGTAGTTGTAGATGTAGATGTAGATGTAGATGTAGATGTAGATGTAGATGTAGATGTAGATGTAGATGTAGATGTAGATGTGTAGATGTAGATGTAGATGTAGATGTAGATGTAGATGTAGATGTAGATGTAGATGTAGATGTAGATGTAGATGTAGATGTAGATGTAGATGTAGATGTAGATGTAGATGTAGATGTAGATGTAGATGTAGATGTAGATGTAGATGTAGATGTAGATGCAGATGCAGATGCAGATGTATATGTAGATGTAGATGTAGATGTAGATGTAGATGTAGATGTAGATGTAGATGTAGATGTAGATGTAGATGATGTAGATGTAGATGTAGATGTAGTAGATGTAGATGTAGATGTAGATGTAGATGTAGATGTAGATGTAGATGTAGATGTAGATGTAGATGTAGATGTAGATGTAGATGTAGATGTAGATGTAGATGTAGATGTAGATGTAGATGTAGATGTAGATGTAGATGTAGATGTAGATGTAGATGTAGATGTAGATGTAGATGTAGATGTAGATGTAGATGTAGATGTAGATGTAGATGTAGATGTAGATGTAGATGTAGATGTAGATGTAGATGTAGATGTAGATGTAGATGTAGATGTAGATGTACGTAGACGTAGATGTAGATGTAGATGTAGATGTAGATGTCGATGTAGACGTGTATATGTAGAAGTAGACGTAGATGTAGATGTAGATGTAGATGTAGATGTAGATGTAGATGTATGTAGATGTAGATGTAGATGTAGATGTAGATGTATGATGTAGATGTAGATGTAGATGTAGATGTAGATGTAGATGTAGATGTAGATGTAGATGTAGATGTAGATGTAGATGTAGATGTAGATGTAGATGTAGATGTAGATGTAGATGTAGATGTAGATGTAGATGTAGATGTAGATGTAGATGTAGATGTAGATGTAGATGTAGATGTAGATGTAGATGTAGATGTAGATGTAGATGTAGATGTAGATGTAGATGTAGATGTAGATGTAGATGTAGATGTAGATGTAGATGTAGATGTAGATGTAGATGTAGATGTAGATGTAGATGTAGATGTAGATGTAGATGTAGATGTAGATGTAGATGTAGATGTAGATGTAGATGTAGATGTAGATGTAGATGTAGATGTAGATGTAGATGTAGATGTAGATGTAGATGTAGATGTAGATGTAGATGTAGATGTAGATGTAGATGTAGATGTAGATGTAGATGTAGATGTAGATGTAGATGTAGATGTAGATGTAGATGTAGATGTAGATGTAGATGTAGATGTAGATGTAGATGTAGATGTAGATGTAGATGTAGATGTAGATGTAGATGTAGATGTAGATGTAGATGTAGATGTAGATGTAGATGTAGATGTAGTAGAGATGTAGATGTAGATGTAGATGTAGATGTAGATGTAGATGTAGATGTAGATGTAGATGTAGATGTAGATGTAGATGTAGATGTAGATGTAGATGTAGATGTAGATGTAGATGTAGATGTAGATGTAGATGTAGATGTAGATGTATGTAGATGTAGATGTAGATGTAGATGTAGATGTAGATGTAGATGTAGATGTAGATGTAGATGTAGATGATGTAGATGATAGATGTAGATGTAGATGTAGATGTATGTAGATGTAGATGTAGATGTAGATGTAGATGTAGATGTAGATGTAGATGTAGATGTAGATGTAGATGTAGATGTAGATGTAGATGTAGATGTGTAGATGTAGATGTAGATGTAGATGTAGATGTAGATGTAGATGTAGATGTAGATGTAGATGTAGATGTAGATGTAGATGTAGATGTAGAGTAGATGTAGATGTAGATGTAGATGTAGATGTAGATGTAGATGTAGATGTAGATGTAGATGTAGATGTAGATGTAGATGTAGATGTAGATGTAGATGTAGATGTAGATGTAGATGTAGATGTAGATGTAGATGTAGATGTAGATGTAGATGTAGATGTAGATGTAGATGTAGATGTAGATGTAGATGTAGATGTAGATGTAGATGTAGATGTAGATGTAGATGTAGATGTAGATGTAGATGTAGATGTATGTAGATGTAGATGTAGATGATGTAGATGTAGATGTAGATGATGTAGATGTAGATGTAGATGTAGATGTAGATGTAGATGTAGATGTAGATGTAGATGTAGATGTAGATGTAGATGTAGATGTAGATGTAGATGCAGATGCAGATGCAGATGCAGATGCAGATGCAGATGCAGATGCAGATGCAGATGCAGATGCAGATGCAGATGCAGATGTAGATGTAGATGTAGATGTAGATGTATGATGTAGCTGTAGCTGTAGCTGTAGCTGTAGCTGTAGCTGTAGCTGTAGCTGTAGCTGTAGATGTAGATGTAGATGTAGATGTAGATGTAGATGTAGATGTAGATGTAGATGTAGATGTAGATGTAGATGTAGATGTAGATGTAGATGTAGATGTAGATGTAGATAGATGTAGATGTAGATGTAGATGTAGATGTAGATGTAGATGTAGATGTAGATGTAGATGTAGATGTAGATGTAGATGTAGATGTAGATGTAGATGTAGATGTAGATGTAGATGTAGATGTAGATGTAGATGTAGATGATGTAGATGTAGATGTAGATGTAGATGTAGATGTAGATGTAGATGTAGATGTAGATGTAGATGTAGATGTAGATGTAGATGTAGATGTAGATGTAGATGTAGATGTAGATGTGGATGTGGATGTGGATGTGGATGTGGATGTGGATGTGGCTGTGGCTGTAGCTGTAGCTGTAGATGTAGATGTAGATGTAGATGTAGATGTAGATGTAGATGTAGATGTAGATGTAGATGTAGATGTAGATGTAGATGCAGATGCAGATACAGATGCAGATGCAGATGCAGATGCAGATGCAGATGCAGATGCAGATGCAGATGCAGATGTAGATGTAGATGTAGATGTAGATGTGGATGTGGATGTGGATGTGGATGTGGATGTAGATGTAGCTGTAGCTGTAGCTGTAGCTGTAGCTGTAGCTGTAGCTGTAGCTGTAGCTGTAGCTGTAGATGTAGATGTAGATGTAGATGTGGCTGTGGCTGTAGCTGTAGCTGTAGATGTAGATGTAGATGTAGATGTAGATGTAGATGTAGATGTAGATGTAGATGTAGATGTATAGATGTAGATGTAGATGTAGATGTAGATGTAGATGTAGATGTAGATGTAGATGTAGATGTAGATGTAGATGTAGATGTGGATGGTGATGTAGATGTGGAGTTTGATGTGGCTGTGGATGTGCACGAAATCATATATACGTATGTTTCTGTAGGTGTATAGGTGTATGCGTTAGTATGTGTGTAAGTGTATGTACATGTACATGTAGATGTAAATGTACATGTAAATGTAAGTGTGCATGTATCTGAATATGTACATGTGCATGTACATGTGTGCATATGTATATCGTATTGTAGATGTGCCCGTACATGTATATGTACATGTAGATAGGTGTATGTACACATATGTTTGGATGCGTATGTGCATAAGTACGCGTATGTATATGTGATTGCATATGTGTATGTGTATATATATACATATGCAAATGAATGTGTGTATGTATATGTAGGCGTACTTGTGTATGCATACGTGCATCTGAATGCATATGTATGTGTATATGTATATGCAAATGTATGTGTATGTGCCTGTGAGTATATATATGTGTATCTGTATGTGCGCGCGTGTGTGTGCTTGTCTCTGTGGCGGATCGCCCTCTGCGAAGGTGGAGTCCATGGTCCAATTCAGGTGGTCATGCAGATCCTGCGGCAGGGGGTCGCCCGGGCCCAGCTGCCCGGACTTCAGGGCGACGACCTTGATGTCGCGCTTCTCCAGGAAGGCCCTGATGCTGCCCACGCCGTCCTGAGACCAGGAACCCTAAGAGACACGACCACCCCTAAAAGCCTTCGCCCCACCCCCTCGCCTCCACTCGTCGTCCCCATCCTCTTCCTCCTCCCCCTCCCCCTCCTCCTTCTCCTCCTCCTCCTCCTTCTCCTCCTCCTCCTCCTGTTCATCGTTCTTGTTACATGGTGAGCACATGTATTCTTCGGCGTTTCGACATTTGGCGGAAGGAGGGGGGAAGGGGGGGTCTGGCTCCTGACCTCTGCGCGGCTGCTTGGATCAGTGCGTCCATGACGGGGGAGGCTCCACATGCTCGAGACGGGCCCCAACAACAGCCAAGATCTACTCCGTGGTGGGGGGGAGAGGAGGTTGGGGGGCCCACGCCGATCGGCAAAACAATGAACGACCCCATCGGATTGTTTAATGCATGGGATTTTCAATCACACCAGGCCATAGACTAGGAAGAAAGGCACCCCGCGCGCGCCAGAGTGCATGAGATGTTTTAACACATGTCCGAGCACGGGTCAAAATGCGCTCTCGCTGACCCGGCAACATCACCTCACACGCGCAAGCGAGCAAGCAAGCAAGCAAGCAAGCAAGCAAGTAATGCCTTGAAAACCTTGCTCAACGTGTCGGGGCGGAGTCCCTGGCGACACGGCATGCCCCTGCAAGCCGACAGCGTGCCGCGTCGCTTCGAAGGGGCGGGAGGCTGGGAAAGAAGGCTCGGGACGCTGATGCTGGGGGACTGGCACGTCGATAGCGTGTCGCGCCGAAGCGTGGTGGGCCAGAGCAGGCGGCGCGACGCGCTATGCCAGAATTGGTGCCCGGGAGCGCGCCGGGGGGCGACGCCAAAGGCGCGCGGCCAGGGTGTGCGACGATGGAGGCCCAGAGCCGACCCAAGGCCGACCCAAGGAAGCTGGAGCACACACACACACGTGGCCCGAGTCTTGCGGGGAACGTCTGGAGGCCACGCGACGGACAGACATGCGGACGCCTGGCCTCGCCTGGCCACACGGGGGCCGAGCGCGGGAACGGCGTGCGGCCGCGCCCACGGCCAGCTCTCGCCCAGGCAGGGCGCAGCATGCGCATCCACCTGCCCATCGGTGCTCGCTGGAGAAACCAAGAGGTACCGATACCACGACTCCCCTGACGTGTCCCAAGGTGCGGGCTGGCCAGAACTTCGAAGCGACTCCCTCCGTGGCGACGAGGGGCGTCCTGGAACCAAACATGCGAGACCGAGGGGAGGGTAGCTGTAATGGTACCTCTTCCTCCGCTGACTTGTGGCGCGTTTGGGTGTGCGAGTCCTTCAGCGCTGCCCGCATCATGGCCTCCAGGAGGAAGCTGTCCACCTGCGACAGCAGCGGCATCGCCCTGCGCAGTGCGAGCGCCAGCTCGGCTGTGAAGGAGTCCTCGGCGACCTCGGAGGGCGCCCCGATGAACACGCAGTTCATGCTCTCGTCGAAGTAGGCGTGCAGCTCCTGCTGGCAGCGCGCGCAGGGGGCTTCGCAGAAGGACGCCAACTGTACGCCCACACCAACCCCGGGCCCAGGATCGACGGGTATGCCTCTCTGCCCAGGCCAGGAGGGCCTTTAACACCGCTCCAGGGCCCAGGATCGGGCCGGCCAGAATCGAGGCAGCTGTATATAGCTGGCGCCCTGCGCTGCTGGGGCGCGCTGGGGGGGGGGCAGCCCTCTCACAGTGCAGGGGGCTGCAGAGAAGCCCTCCCGTCTACCACGAAGCCCTCTCCGAGCCCCTCCGTGAGGCACCATCCGCAGGGCGCCCTTCTCGCCCCACCCACTCGGTGCGCGCCGCCAGTCCTGCTGGCTGCCGGTGATCACGCCCTCCTTCACCGCACGGCCGTGCTCCCTCTTGAAGAAGAGCCCGCTGCGTAGGGTGCTCGTCGTCGACCGGAACGTGATGGAGCCCAGCTCCTTCGTCAGTTCCGGCAGCGTCTGCTTGGTGATCCGCTTGTGCGCCTGGTTGTTGTGGAGCATCACCGCCCGGAGCCCACAGGCGAACTCGTAGGACCGGATCATCTCCTCTGTGGCCCTCCTCATGGGGCTGTCCGTCGGCTCCTCCTCCTCTCCCTCCGTGATCAGCCGGCGCTCCTCCAGCAGCTGCGAGAGCCTGCTCAGGCCGGCCACGTCCATCAGGGTCTGGGCGATCTCGCGCTCGTCCACCTGGCTCATCTTCACGAACATCAGGGCCTCCTCCCCGGTGCAGCGGCTGAGCCAGCGGGGCTCGTCCGCCCACACGAGGGCCGAGGCCCGCTCGATGCGGCCGTCGGTGGTGAACATGTGCAGGTTGTGCGCCTCCACCGCGGAGCCCAGGCCCGACGAGGCGGCCACCTCCTCGTGCACGCCGCGCGCGCACGCGTCCAGCACGGACACCACCCACTCCCAGCCCACGTGGCCCAGCGTGCGGGCCCTCGCGGCCACGCGCTCGCTGGCCGTGGCGTAGTCCCCGGCCCGCGGCCGCTCGCTGGCCCCCAGCGCGCGGAAGACGGCGGCCTCCCGGGTGGTCTCCGCGAAGACCTGGCGGAGGTAGAGCCTCAGGCCGGCTTCCTGTCGGGACGGGCGAAGGGGGCGAAAGGGTCAAGTCGGGCGTGTCCCTCCACAGGAGGAATGCTCCAAACGTGTCGACAAAAAGTCTGGGGACGATTTTGGGGGGCATCGTTTGACTATGTGGGCGGCATGTTTTGAATATGTGTCATTTTTCCTCCAAAATCCGCCTGTAGGGGGACATACCCGACCTAACGAAAGGGGTGAACAGCAAAGGTGGGCAAGCAGCTGCATTGTCCGGCGCCAGTCCCAGCGCCGGAGGTGCCAAATGTGTCAAGGAAAGCGCCTGGCGGCGGGGCCGAGACCAGCTTTAGGTCGGGCATGTCCCTCTACATGCCGATTTTGGACGAAAAATAAAAACTACCCGAGGAATGCTCAAAAACAGTCAAACAAATGCTCAAAAACCATCCCCTGACTATTGTTTGACTATGTTTAAAGTTTCCTCCTGTTGAGGGACAAGCCCGACTCAAGACCAGCTGCCTTCAGCACAGTTCGTACCCTACCTTTCCCAAGAACCCCGTTCGTTCAGCCCGATCCTTGCCGCGCAGCATTGGCAGCTGGAAGAAGGAGTATGTCGGGAGCGTGAGCGTCGTCACGTCCACGGGCTTGTCGCCCATGTCCTCGGAAGTGACCGCCACGCAGGGCAGCTTGCGTAAATTCGACAACCCATCGTTGAGCGTCGGACCCGCCACGGAGTCAAGCTGCCCAGCCAGGTACTGCCAGCAGGCGCGGAAGTCCTCGTGCAGCTCGCTGTTGGTCTTGACGGAGCCCATGCCTGGCTCGGTAACTGACATTTTGCAGATTGACGAGAAGTGCATCATCACAAGCTCGAGCGGGGCGCTGTCGGCGTTCACGAAAGAGGCAAAGACGTTGAACATGCCGTTGGGGTGGTGGTCCAGCAGATGCCTCATCGCCGGAGTTCCGTCCTTATTAGCGGGGTCGTGGTGGTAGGCCAACGGGCACACGGACCACAGCACCTTCTGCGCCTCACGAAAGGCCAAGCCCTTGAAGGGAAGCAGCGTCAGCTCGGCATTCTCCAGCTGGACGGTCTTCTGCTGCTGCTCCTTGGCGCGCTTAGAGTTCCGCTTGTTTCCCTCCGCCTGCTTCTTCTGATCGCTCGGGAATTTGTAGGCCATTACCACGCGAAGCGAGGCCACCTCGAGTAAGTTCTTCATTACCTCGATGTTGGCCGTCGGCTCCTTCATAGGCGTGAGGCTTGTCACGGGCTTGTTCTTTGGCCACACCTGCTCCGCAGAGTTTGCCCACTCCTCGACCAGCTCGTACGATTGGTGCTTCATAATGTCCGTCACCGTGCCCTTGCAAGCTGCGTGGTGGAGCATCCGGGCACACATCAGCAACAGGTTGGAAGAGATGTTCGGATCCATGCCGAGCGCGTGCAGCAGCTCCGTGTACTTCGGGCTGGCCTGTATCCACTTGGCCGGCAGGTGCGGCTGCAGCGCCTCTGCGAAGGCGATCGCGCAGCCGCCCGCCGAGGACGTGAAGTCAGCCGGGATGCCCATGCGGGTGCCGTCCTCCGACATGACAAACGGCGTCTCCCCGGCGGCTCGCCTCACCTTCTCCGATGCGTCGATGCAGGCGAATGCGTGCAGCTCGAGGAAGAAAGGCTTGGACAGTACACCCTCGGTGTCGGTCTTGCAGATACCCGGGAGCTCCGGGATGATGTGGTTGACCATGAACTCCTCGCCGTTGCAGAGCTTGATGTCGCAATACTCGTAGATGGGCTTCACCTGCTGCGTCGGCCAAGCGAGCATCACCAGCCCAGGGAGCTTCAGCTTTCCACACGCCGTCGAGTGGGGGTCGTTGGGGTCGATGCACACGTACTTGCATCCTGGCGTCAGTTTGCAGAAGGCGGAGCCCAGGTCCGAGGTCCTGAACAGCGGCAGTTGGGAGATTCCCGTGAGCCGAGTGCCGCCCTTTACGCAAAGCACGGAGAAGTACGCCAACAGGTCGTGACGCTGCATGCCGTCCAGATTGTTCACGCTGCCGTTCTTGATGAGCAGGTGCAGCAGCTCCTCGTTGGTCGACACGGCCATGGGCTTCACCAGAGTGGCGATACGGTCGTCCGACACCATCTCCTCCTGGATGATGTCCAGACCGCACTGCTCGAGCAGTCCGGACATACTGGCGCGCACGTCCTCGTCATTGTCCAGGAAAGCGACGGCGACGCACTTCGGGGCCGAGTTGATCGTGATAAGCTTCTCGCCGTTCGGCCCGCCACCGGTCAGCGACTGGACCGCGAGCATCTTCCAATCCCCCACCATCTCTATCATGAGCTTCTTGTTCTCCATGCTCTGCGTTGCCTGGATGGTCTCCGAGACCAGCTGCCAGAAGAGCCGCAGGATCTCGTTCTCGGCGGACATGAAGGTGCTGGACGGTCTGACCAGGTTCTCCACGTCGGTCTTGTAGGGCATGAGGTCGTAGAGGGTGAAGCGACGAACCCCCGGGATCTCCGTCGACACCTCCCAGACGATGCCCTCAGCGGTGGTGTCCACGGAGCTCTCGATGGCGCGGTTGATCTCTCGGTCGATGAACAGCTCGGGCTTGCTGGAGAGGATGTCGCGCCCGGTGGAGAACTTCACGCGCTCCTTGGAGAAGGTGGTGACGGCGCCGACGTGCGTGAGCAGCAGAGGCAGGCCCACGAGGCCCTCCAGCTTGAACTGGTGCATCTGGACGCCCGACGTGACGCGCCTGTTGGTGGGCCTGCTCTCCGCCACCACCACCAGGAGTTGGAGGGGGGAAGAAGGAGGAGGAGGAGGGAGAGGAGGAGGAGGAGGAGGAGGAGGAGGAGGAGGAGGAGGAGGAGGAGGAGGAGGAGGACCCCCTCCCCCTCCAACTCATGGTGGTGGTGGTGGAAAGCAGGCCCAACACCTGTGCTTGATCCACATGCCCTTGGTGATGAACTCCAGCATGTCGACGATGAAGCTGCGCTTCGACAGCGAGAGCATCCCAGTCCTGTCCATCTCGACGTCGGCCAGGATGTCCGTCTGCGCCTTCTTGTAGGCCTCCTTCAGCCAGGCGGCGAGGATCTCGAAGTCCAGGGTGCTGCGCTTCCTCTCGAGGGCCTCCTCGTAAAGCGCCATCAAGTCATCGGGGAGGCAGACCAGTTTGAGCCCGTCCTTGGGAGGGGCTCGCTGTATACGCCACGTCGATTGGTCGGCCGAGGAGCTCGGCGTGTAGACACCCCAGCTGCCCGACCTCTGGGAAGCTGGAGCGTCTGTACATCAGAAGATCCCCGTGCCGAAATTCGTGGGCTCCCCGGCCGACCCCACGACGTGGTGTGCATGCACATCGAGCCCCTCCGGGTCCTGCACCAGGGACCTCTGCAACACGTCGGTCAGCTCGGTGCAGAAGAAGATGGGAGCGGGCCCCGTCTGCCAGCTGATCTCGTTGCCGGCCTGCACTTAGGTCGGGCATGTCCCCCTACAGACGGATTTTGGACGAAAAATGAAAAATAGTCAAAACAACAATCACCCCAAAAAGTACAAAAATAATGAAAAAAACGTCCCAGTATTATCTTTTGACTACTTTTGAACATTCCCCCTGTAGAGGTACAGACCCGGCTTAAGCCTGCACCGGGAAGATCGCGGAGTTCAGCGCGCGGCGGAAGGTGGCCCGCGCCAGGATCTGGTGCAGCCGCTCGCCGGAGACGGGGAAGACGTGGTAGTAGTGCTCCATGGTCATGCCGTGGTAGATCACCAGCGCCGTGCAGTGCGTGATCAGGCCGTGGATGCTGTCCTAGAAGAAGAACAAACACGTAAACAGAAACTGTTGGTGCTCCGCGCGGATTTCTTGGATTCGCGCTGCACCCCCCTCCCTCGCGCGCGGAGCGCGCCAGAGGCGGCGCTGGAGGCGCCGCCAGGGGGGGCCCAGGCGCGGATCCAAGAACTCCGCGCGGAGCGCCAAAAGTTCCTGTTAATATGTGTTTTTCTTCTGAGATGTCCGCCACGGGACCCTGCAGCAGCATGCGGTTCCAGCTCTTGTTCAGGGACGGCGTCTGCTCCTGCTCCTCCGGCAGCGGCAGCGCCTTGCGCGACGAGAGCAGGGCGAAGGCGCCGTTGATCCAGGCGACGCTGTTGCTGCGGAAGTGGGTGGGCAGGCCGCAGCACACGTAGCCGTCGCGCTTCAGCTTCTTGGGGTCGGGGAAGGGCTTCACCTTCACTGCGGCCGCTCCTGCGGGCAGCAGCGCCACTCCGTGCGGCTGGTTGTACTGCGCCTTCAGGACGGTGTGCATGGCGTCGTTGAAGACGCCGACGCGGTGGGCGATGGCCCACTCGGCCGTTTGGGTCCCCTCCGCCAGGCCCTCCGTAGTGATCACCTTGGTGGCCAGGTACGTGTGGATCTTCCCGACCTTGAGCTCCATCGGTGAGGACGGCAGCCCCGCGAAGAAGTTGCTGTACCCCTCCGGGTCCTGCACCACGCTGTGGTGCTTGGAGATGGTCGCGGACCCGTCGTAGAACTCGAGCCGCTGCAGCTTCTTCGCGAAGAGCAGCATCTTCTCCCCGATCGCTGCGGCCTGCTGCAGCTCGGACCGGACGCGCGCGGCGGTCTGCCCGAAGCCGAGGTCCGAGCGGTTGCTGCGCAGCGCGAGCCGGAAGACGGTCGGGTACTTCTCCTGGTGGGCTTGCTTTCCCCCGCCACTACCATAAGTTGGAGGGGGAAGGGGTCCTCCTCCTCCTCCTTCTCCTCCTCCTCGTCCTCCACCTCCTTACCCCCTCCAACTTCTGGTGGTGCTGGTGGAAAACAGGCCCATCATGTCCAGGAACCCCGGCTTCTCGTAGGGCGCGAAAGTGTCCGGGAAGCTCTCGCGGATCTTGTCGATCTTGAACTGCCGCCCGCGCGCGGTGCCCGGCTGCGCCACGAAGCTGCGGGTCAGGTCGAAGAAGTGCAGGTGGTCATTGGCGAGGAGCTGCGGGCAGTCGCAGTACCTGTACATGACGTTCAGCCCCACGCCGAAGCGCCCCGTCGAGGCGAAATCCAGCCTCTTCTCGGAGTATCCCACGCGCTGCATCCGCGTGATGTCGCTCTCCGACAGCGGCTTGTCGGAGCAGACGTACAGCGCGGTGCCCTGCAGCGTGGCGGTGCGCGGGTCCACCACCTGCTCCGCGGCGAACTCCTCCTCGAGCAGGATGAACGCCATGTGCTCCGCGCCCGCGTCGTCGGTGTTCTGCACGAACTCCTTCACCGACAACGGTCACAGCGATAACAACGATATCGATAACACCGATCACAAAGATCGCAACGATAACAACGATCACAACGATCACAACGACAACGATCGCAACGATTTTGAGAACAACGATATCAACGATAACAGCGATGACGATAACGATAACAACGACAACGTCAGCAACGACAACGAACACAACGATCACCACGACAACGATCGACGACCACGATCACAACGACAACGATCACAACGATGACAACGATCACAACGATCACAACGACAGCAATAACAGCGATCACAACGACAACGGTATGACAACGAACTCCTTCACCAGGTCGGTGCTGTCCCCGTACTCCTGCAGCAGCTGGCGCACCTGGCTCACCAGGTCCGCCTCCTGCCCGAACGGGTCGCCCGCGTCCACGTCGCGGGCCTCGCACTGCCTCGCCATCTCCTCCCGCACCGAGGTGCAGCCCAGCAGCCGGCCGTCGTCTGCGCTGATCGTCGGGTGGAGGGTCACCAGGTCGCGCTGCCGCCACGGCGCGTCGTCGATGTAGACCTGGTTGGTGGGCTGCAGGTTGCCCGTCAACGTGGGCACCATGACCTCCGGCGGCGAGGGGGCGGCCTCCGAAGGGGGCAGGGGTCTTCTCTTGAGAGGGGTCTTCTCTCAAGAGGAGAAGGAGGAGGAGGAGGAGGAGGAGGAGGAGGAGGAGGAGGTCCTGGATCGGCGCTGCACGCCCCTAACCTGGCGCGCCACGGGCGCGCCACGGGCGGCGCCCGAGGAGCCGCCAAGGGGGGCACAGCGCAGATCCAAGAAAACCCGCGCGGGCCGCCGAGAGCTTCAGGACGTCTGGAGGTGGACACCAACACCAGCACTGACTACCTAACAGACCACCCCAACCCAACCCGAAGACCCGAATTTCGGGTTGGGGGGGGTATGGGTTCCATACGTGTTTTTTCGATGTTCCCCGACCCCCCCCCACTGGAAATGGAGGTCAATTTGAAGCCTTCGGGTTGGGTTGGGGTGGTTTGGTGGGTGGTGAGGCACCAGGGGCTGCCTCCACGGCAGGAAGATGATCCTGGATTCTGGTGTTGGTGGCAATTGTTCGGTCACCTGGGAAGCCCGAACATGACCACCATCACCGAGATCGGGATCCTCTTCCCTCGGTGGAGGCACACCGCCGATATTGGTGGTGGTGACAACCTCTGGGCCTCCGAAGTTTGTGTTTGTTTGCAGTTCCCCTTCTTCCATAGATGGCAGGGGCCACCTTAGATGGCCACCCCGTTCGCTCCCGTCCCCTCCGGCGCGCCGCAGGGACCTGCTTCGGCAGCGGGTCCTTCGCGCGCACGCGGCTGGCCAGCTCCACCGCCAGCGTCACGGCGAGGTCGATGCCGGTCTCTTCCACAGGCCGCGTGGACAGGATCTCGGCCAGCGCCTCGGCGCGGGGCTCCTGTGGGGAAACCACAAGGTACCGATACCGCTACTCCCCAGACATATCCCGGGGCGCGTTCTGATCAGGATTTCGAGGCGAATCCAGCGGTGGCAACGAGAGCCTCCGAGAAGGCCGAAAAAGGGGCAAACGGGCGAAGGCTAGCGGTATCGATACCTTTTTCTCCTCTGATCCTGGGACACGTTCACCGACTGCGCCAGAAGCTTTATCGTGTGGTCGGCCGGCTGCACGATGCCGAAGGCCGGGCTCAGCGCGCGGTGGTCGTGCTTGGCGCGGAAGGCGGCTCGCCGCGGCACGAACAGCGCGACCGCCATCTCGTCCGCCGTCGCGAGGCACGGCACGAAGGCCACGTCCTTCAGGGCCTCGTGTGTCTCCAAGGGGCCCAGCTTCGGCAGCAGCGGCACGAGCGCGCCGAAGGCGGTGCGCAGGTGGTCCATGGTCGCCTTTGGGAGGTGCGGCGGGCTGCCGGGGCTCGTCTCGGCAGAATCGGCCAATGCACGCACCTGCTGTAAGAGCACGCCTGGCTCAGACTCAACGCTGCGGGTGGCGCGCAGCTCCCTCACGCTCGGCTCGGAGTCCACGTGCATGCAGGGAGCTACCGCCCACACAAGCTTGCGTGCGGAGGGGGGGAAGATGTCCTTCAGGGCCAGCAACTGCGTCGCTTGGGCGCTGCACGCCGTCGTCGACGGCTCCGTGCTGGGGATCCACGCGAGCTCCTTGAGCTTCTGCATCGCGGCAGCCCGGTTGCCCTTCAAGGAAGTGTGTCGCTTGTCCAGGTGCGCAAAGAGCTTCTCGGCGCGTTGGATGTCGGCGCTGCCGACGATCAGCTCCGCCTCGTCCACTACGTCCTCCCACGTGAGCTCCTGCTTCAGCCCGCACACCTGCAGCACCCTCCAGACGGCCGCTGCATCCAGACTGGCCTCCGCGAGGAAGGAATCGATCTTTGCGCGCCGCTCACATACCACCCGGAAGGCGTCTGGGCTCTTGTTTGGGTCGAACACATCCCGGATCTTCCTCATCACCCCGTCCTCGGCGGGGATCCCCTCCACGGCGGCCAGCTTCCCGGCGAGCACCCTGATCTCCGGCTCCTTCCACGAGCCAGCCCACTCGAGGAAGGCGAGCAGCAGGGTGGTGAGGTCGTGCGGCTCAAGGCCGCCAGCCGCCGCGATGACCACGTCGTAGAGGACCTGCGTGCAGGTCTTCTCCGTGAGAGCCTTCCGGCTGTGCAGGAGCTTCACGACGTGGTCCGGAGGGTCCACGACGGTCCACTTGCTGTCCGCGCAGAGCTGCAGGAGCCGGGCACGGCAGGCCTTCAGCGCCGCCGTGGGCGTCCTGAAGAAGGTCGCGTCCACGGGCCGCACGAGCTCACCCGTGGGGGTGCGCAACACGTTGGTGGTCTTGAGGATCTCGACCAGGGGGCTGAGCACCACCTTGAAGGCCCTGTCGACCTGCGAGTCGTCTGGCCACGACGAGAGGCCGTAGTCCTCGGCGATGCCCTCGGTGCTCGCCAGGATCTGGAGCGAGTTCGAGTACACCTGGGGCAGGATGGCCGTCAGGACCTGCTCGTTCCACTGGGCCCACTGGCGGTGCTCTCCGTCGAGGTCGGGCGACATGCGCCACAGGGCCCGCCTATTGTCGTGCAGCTTGAAGTAGGCGTTCACGTGCACGGGGAGTTTGGTGGAGATGGGCAGCGGCGTCGAGGAGAAGACGATCCCGTCCAGCGCCACGCTCAGAGGGAGGGCGATGACGACCATGGGCACGCAGGAACAGCTGTGCACCAGCTTCACGATCTCCGGGGCCTGCGAGAAGAAGCCGCACCTGGAGAGACCAAAAGGTGCCGATCCCGCTACCCGCCGCACCTCTCCCGGGGTGCGTCCGGACCAGAATTTCGAGGCGAATCCAGCGGCGGCGACGAGGGCCTCCCAGGAGGCCCCAAAAGGGGAAAACGGGCGAAGGGTAGAGGTATGGGTACCTTTTCCTCCTTCAAGCACCGGAGCCACTGGCGGGACACCACGATGTCCTTGTTGTTCACCTCGGTCCTCATGTCTACGACGTCGAGCACCCTCGGGGGTTCTGACGCCTTGTCGCGGAGTGCGACCTCCAGCTCTGCGAAAGAGTTGAACTGCATAAGGAACCGCTTGACCTCGCCTGGCCCCGTCATCGCCTGGGGCAGCTTGTGCCCCGACGAGATGCCGAGCTGCGTGCAGGCGATCCTGGCAGGACCAGCCACCATCGGAATCGGCAAATCGGACCGAATCGGAACGTGTGTCGGATCGGGTCGCGAAGGCACGGAACTCGAATCGAACCTGCGATGCCGGATATCAAACTGCGCCGTGCAATCATACGGGGCCGCATTGGATCGCCAGAAGATGCCAAAACCGTATCGGATCAGGCCAGGCCCGCTCGGCAAATCGAACTGGACTGATCGCACCGAGATGGGCACTCCTGGTAGGCTCGTGAGCGCCGACGTCCCAGCGCCACAGCTCGACGCACTGGATGCAGGTGAGGAACAGCGCCACCTCACCGTTCTTCAGCGTCTCCTCGAAGTCCGCGAAGATCCTCTCGGCGCGCTCCAGCTCGAAGCTCTGCGGCATGAAGGTGCACTTTTTGGCGCGCTCACTGGTGCGGAGGGCGCAACGGATGATCGACCCCTGGAGCTCCGAGCGCATGTCGCAGCCAAAGAGGCCTGTTGGAAAACCGAGAAATACATTAATATATTAATACGGACATGCATATATGCAAACAACCATACACACACATACACATACACCTAGACCTACACATACACATACACCTACACATACACATACACATACACCTTACACATACACATACACATACACTTACACATACACACACATGCATGCAAACATACCTACCTACATACATACATACACACATGCTTATATGCGTACAGTCATACCACACATACACACATACATGCATGCAGATCTACGTGTACGCATGCATACATACGTACATACATAAATGCCTACAAGCACACATGCATGCAGACCTGAATGCATACACGCATAGATGCATCAGGCACACGGACATTAATATACACATATATACACACATGAACATCTATATAGGCATAGATGCACTCATACATACATACACGCATGCATACATACGTACACACATGCATACACATACATACATGCATACCACGTGCGTGCATACAAACATGCATGCAGGCATGCGCGCATACATGCATCCATACACAAAAAAAAAACATATATATACAAACTTCGATGCATACACACATGCATGCATACATACGTACATCAATGCATACACACATACACACATGCATTCATAGACGCATCCGTGCATTCCTGAATGCATGCGTACACACATACATACGTACGTACGTACGTACGCGTACGTATGTGCGTAGATAGATACACGCATGCATGCATGCATGCATGCATGTATACATACAGGCATACATACAAACCAACACACACACACACACACATACATGTAAACACACATACAAGCATACGTACTTACAGACAGACAGGCAGACAGACAGACAAACAGACAGACAAACAGGCAGACAAGCAAACATACACATATGCGTATCGGAAATTGGGGGGTGAGATCGCAGTTAACAGAGAGTCCCCGACAAAAAACTCTGTTTGGGTTGCGAATCCGTGTCATGCGTGCGGGCGAGGCGAACCTGAGCGGGCGGGCGAGAGGAATGAACCCGAAGTTGCTAGGGCGAAACTGGGCTCCGTGTCCCAATGTCCCGTCGCGCGATGTCCCGTGGAGACCCCTGGTGTTCCGTGGTGTCCCGAGGCGCGGGGTCCCGCGGTGTATCGTGGTGTCCCGTGAGATCGATTGTGAGATCGATCCTGAGATCCATAATGCGATCGATTGAGTGAGATCACTAGTGATGTCGGGAGTGAGATCGATCGTGAGATCGATAGCGGGATCGATAGCAGGACCGATAGTGAGATCGATAGTGAGATGAGTGGTGGGATCGGTGGTGAGATCGATAGGTAGAGGAGTATCAATAATGAAGTCGGCTGTGAGATCAATAGTGGGATCGACTGCGAGATCGATAGTGAGATCGGTAGGAAGACGTAGAGTGAGATCGATAGTGAGATTGATTGATATATGCATGGTGAGATGAAGTGTGTGATCTATGTTGAGATCGATAGATCATGAGATCGATGGGTAGATGGAGGTCGACAATGAGTTCGATAGTGAGATCGGTAATGGGATCAGTATGGGAGCGATCGATCATGAGATCAGTATGGTGCCCCGTGGTATCCCATGGTGGCTCGTGGCGCGGTGAGATTGCAGTGGAACGGGGAGCCCCCCACTTGGGAATCGGTTTCGGCTTCAGGTTCTTGTCGTGCCTGCGGGCAAGGCGACGCTGCGCGGGCGGGCGAAAAGAATACCGCCGTGGCTAAGGGGTAACCTGGCCAAATGATGGTCCCCCCCCCCCTGAAAGTCCGGCAGTGGGCGCGGATGCCTCGCCCGTGGCGTCCCGCGGTGTTCCGTGGTGTGTCCCGATGGTGTCCCGTGGTGTCCCGAGGTGTCTCGTGGTGCCTCGCAGCGTCATCGATTTGGAGACCGAGGGAAAGAGTGTGAGATAGATAGATCGACTGAGAGGAACCAAGTGCGAACCTTAGTGGGGTCGGTATATAGCTCGAATGATCGATGGATTCATAGACAGCGAAATCGACGATAAGACCCTCTGGTCAATCGATAGAGAGATCGATAGTACGATCGTTAGTGAGATCGATGGTGAAAGCGATCATGGTACCGACAGTGATAACAATAGATGTTATAAGTTTGGAGCTGGTTTCGGAACGAAGCGGAGAGCCATCGCGTTATCATGGATCGTCGCCAGCTCGTGAGCGCAACACCAACATCGTCACCATCACAACCATTGAAGTTGTCATTAGTGTTTCACCATCGCCTCCTCCACAACTTCCTGTATCACGAGAAATGTGGCCAAATGGGTATATGTTTACACACCTATACACATACATTTGCACAATGTGTCCTACGTATGATATACATATAGAATATGTATATGTGTGTATGTCTATGCCGCTCTCCGCCAATGTGGCTCGAGGCACGAAGTGAAGTGTCCTCGAGGCACGAAATGGGCAGACATACATACAGACGTACACACCTGTATATGTGTGTATGTATGTATGTATGTATGTATGTATGTATGTATGCATGCATGTATGTATGTATGTATGTATGTATGTAGGTTTGTATGTGTGTATGTATATGTGTATGCATGTGTGTATGTATGTTTGTATGTATGTATGTATGTATGTATGTATGTATGTATGTACGTATGCATGCATGCATGAACGCATGTATGCATGTATGCATGTATGCATGTATGCATGTATGCATGTATGCATGTATGCATGTATATATGCTTGTGTAACTGTACATGTATGTGTATATGTAGATGTATGTGTATGTGTATGTGTATATGTATATGTATATGTATATGTATATGTATATGTATATGTATATGTATATGTATATGTGTAGGTGTATGTATATGTGTATGGATTTATGTATTTGTATATGTATACATATATATGTGTGTATATGTGTATGCCTATGTATATGCGTACGTATCGAATTCCCCAAATTTCTCCTGGGGTGCGGGCTGGCCAGGATTTCGAGGCGGATCCAGCCGTGACGGCGAGGGCCTCCCGGGAGGCCCAAAAGGCGCAGAAGAGAGGGACAGGCCTCGACACCCCCCTCCCGCGAGGAGATCTGTCGACGCGCGGCCTCTTGGGAGACAGTCCCGACACCTCCCTCGGGGCCACCCTCTTCGACGCCCCAGGGACACTTCGTGACGGCCCCGGGGGCCCGACAGCGGCCCTCCGAGGGCCCCGAGCTCGAGGGCAAGAACGCCGGACTTCAGAGACGCCTGTCGGCTGCCGGGGTCGGTACCTGCTCCCCCTCTGGGGCAGCATGCCTTTGCGCCTCGCGCCCAGCGCGTCCCGCAGGTGCCGACCCCTGCCCCTGTGTTGCCGCCGGCGGCTGCCGATCCAAGAACGCTCACCCCCCCCCTGGGCCTACGAACGGCGCGCACTCGTCCTTGAACTTGTCGGGCAGGCAGTCGTCGATGAAGTCTACCTGCTCCCCGAAGTGCCCGCTCTCAAGCACGTCGTCTGGGTCCAGGGCAGAGAGCCTCCGCCCAGAGAGCACCTGAGCGGCGAGACGAGACGGGCCCTGCACAGGAAGACATGGCGACCTTGCGCCGCGGCTTACGCGGGCCGCCAGCGTGGCACACCGCGCGGAGAAGACGGCGCTCGCGCGCGACCGCACGCGGGAAGCTCGAGCCGAGATGTCCGAGAATCTTGACCCCCATCTTGTTCCGCCGCCGCACCTGTATGACGTCGGTGATGTGGAAGAAGGACCGCGACCCCATCCCGAAGATGCCCGCCTCGTCAAGGGGCAACCAGAGGGGGGGGCGGGGCTGGAGCAGGTAGGGAGCCCACAAAGGACGTACGCGCCGAACTATGTACATGTACACGGCCCCTCGATTCGCGAGACCGGCCGCGTTATACGAACATTTGTGCAATGCGTGCTCTCGAAACCAGCGTGGGTTCATGTACACGTACGTCCTTCTTTCGCTCCTGAGCAGGGAGGGAGGCATCGGAGCCGGGATCGGCGGTGCCCCGCCGAGAGATCGGCGCCGGCGGGCTCCCGAGAGCGGGTCCCCGCACGCTCCTGGGCCGCTGGGCGGGCCATCGTGCTCACGTCGGCGATCAATGGGCGACTGTTGGAGGCCTGGAAATGGGCACCAACACCAAGACACGGGGCTGCCTCCACAGGATGGAGACGATCATAGAATTCGGTGTTGGTGGTCATATTTCGGTCACTTGGAAGCCAGAATATTACCACCATCACCGAGATCGGGATTTTTTTCCCTCGGTGGAGGAACGCCGCCGATCTTGGTGTTGGTGGGTGTCAGCCTCTAGGCCTGCGAGACTGAGGGTCGCTGAATCCCCCCCCCAGGCTTAGGGCAGGCATGACCTCCTCCAGGCGCATCTGTGGAGACAACTGAGAAAAAAAACGGCATGGTAAGCACAGCACGGAATATCTCGTCATGCTGGAATGGTCGGAAGATTCCTGGTATTCTTCCTGTAGAGGGACAGGCCCGACTCAACCCAAAGCCTGAGCTCCCCCCCATCGTGTTGCCCCTTTGGGCGGGGCACTATGTGGATGACGCCATATGGTCACCCGCTGGGGCCGTAGGTGAAGCCTCCTATGGGGGCAGGGCGCGTGTGAGGGGTGCGACAATATGGGCAGGGGGACGCCATGTGGTAAGCGCCGCTGGGGCAACATGTCGAGTTTTGCAGGGGCAGGAAAACGTATGAGGGGTGCGCCGAAATGGGCGGGGGGACGCCATGTGGTCACCCCCGCTGGGGCCATCGGTGCAGCCTCCTATGGAGGCAGGAAGCGTGTGAGAAGTGGACAAAAATCGCGGGGAACGCAACTTGCTTCCTCCCGCTGAACGGTGGGGAAAAAGACATATGAGGAGTACGCTGCAATTTGCGGTGGCACCATGTGAACAGCCCCGCTGTGCCGCATGTGGAGCCTCTTATGGGGACAAGAAGCGCGTGAGGGGTGCGACGAAACTGACGGGGGGGCGCCGTGTGGTCCCCCCCTCCCCGGGTCATCGGTGCAGCCTCCTCTGAGGGCGTGACACGTGTGAGGGGCGCGCCGAAATGGGAGGGGGGACGTCATGTGGACATCCCGAATAGGCCATAAGTGGAGCCTCTGGGGGCAGGAATCGTGTGAGTGGTGCGCCGTGGTGGGCGGGGGATCGCCAAAGTGTCACCGCCGTTGGGGCCATGCGTGGAATCTCCTATGGCCTCCGGGGGCAGGAGTCGTGTGAGACGTGCGCCGAAAGGGGCGCGGGGACGCCATGTGGTCAAACGCGTTGGAGTGCGCGGGCTGGAAGAACAGAAGAAGAAAGGATGATGACGGAGGGAAAAGAGCAGGAGGAGGAGGAGGAGGAAGAGGAGGACTGGACTGGACTGGAACGCTTGCGACCCAAGTGAACGACGCTTGGAAAGCAACACGTTCCGAGGCGAGCATCCGATATGTGAGGGGACTTGCGGATAGAACGGGGCTATAGCCTGCAGCCTCGCTGGAGGAAACCAGTGGCCCAAAGCAAACCCGCCCTGGGGGGAAACGAACTTGTGACGGCCCACACGGGTAACATCCTACCAGAGGCAGGCTCGCAGCGGAAAAAAGTCGGAAGTCCCCCCTGATTCAATCCTAAGCCACGGCCCAACAATGACACGACAAGGGAACGAAGGGGAACGACGGGCGAGAAAAAACAAGACACCGCCAACGCCACACACACACACACGAACGCCACACACGCACGCAGGAGGCCAGGAGAAGTAAGGAGCAGGCAACAGCAACAGCCACGGAAGCGAGGGGGAGCCGGGGAGAGACTGCAGGCAACGGAGGGGTGCGTGGCATGACGCGTGGAACTCTTTCGGATCAAGCTCGGTACGGATCGGCTCGGACAATGGAGCAGGAGGAAGGGCACGCAGTGCACTCGAGGCACGCGCATCAGCAGCGAACGAAACAGAAGCGAGGTCCGTGGGGACCGTCCTATTCCCGGCAGCTCTCTGAAGGGCCTGTATGACAGTTGGTATAAAACTCCAGGGGCCCACTGTAGTAGGCTTGGAAAGTGTTGCCTCCAGAGCTGTATTTCGAAATTGATTGCTCGGATCACCCCTGAAGAGCTTTTATAAGTACCTGTACCCGAAATGGCCACTTTGAGCCAGTTCTAACATCCGAAACATAATCCCGAATGGAAATCAAGCGCGCGGGTTGCCTGATTCTCTGCAGCCTAAGAAAGTAACGAACTGCGCGCGCGGGGTTCCGCTGCAGTTCTCGGAGAAGGGGTATCTCCAAGGGCGACAGAGGACAGTCGTGTAGACAGCGTAAGTCTGTAAATGTTCAGTCCTGCGGATGCTCCTGGATCTCCTCTGAGGCCACGCCGAACTGCTGAAGAAGGCGCTCTGCATCTGGACCAAAGGACCCTTTGGGGGACGTTCCTGCCTTGCTACTGCCACCTTGCAACATCGCGGATGTCGTCAGCGGTGATCCGTCGATCGCGACCACCTGACTCTGACTGTATGAGCCCATCCTGAATTGTAGCTTGCACGTGCCCGCCGAGGTGTTCCCTGGTTCCTTGTCGAACCAACATGCCCTAGTGCGACAGCAGATCACAAGCCTGGCCAGAACTCGGAGTGCTTCTGCTTCGTCATCCTTGATATCCCCGTTAGTGCTTGAGAACAGCCGCAGCCTGGACCTCGACACCTCGCGCCGCGTCATCGCCTCCAAGAAGGGCGCCACAAGGGCCATGCATAGGGAGCCCACAAAGGACGTACGCGCCCAGCTATGTACATGAACACGGCCCCTCGATCCGCGAGACTGGCCGCGTGATACGAACATTCGGGCAATGCGTAATTCCGAAACCGGCATGGATTCATGTACGTGCACGTCCTTCTTTCGCTCCTGACCGAAGACGCGGGCCCATGGTGGCCCCTTTGTCGCGATGCTTCTCTTGACCCGTGCAATGCACTGCGCAGTCCTGCCTCGCGATCTGCGCCACTTCGACGAGCGGAGCTGCCGCTCGCAAAAAGGAGCTAACAAAGGGGGCGCCCGCGAGTTCCGCGAGATCCCCCGCACTAGCGAGAAAACGCTTGCGCGAAATCGCGAGCAGGGCCGCCATCATGCCCCCTTCTTTTCCATTGAGCTGCTGGCGCGCCAGATGCACGACCTCCCCCCCAGGCGATGGCGACGATCGCATCCCCCCGCCGCCCGGCCGCGACCGCGCCGGGGCGCAAGCCGCGGCTGCTCTCGGATAACAGCGGGAGATAAGCGAAATGTGAACGCACGCGCCGATCAAGTTGGGAGGGGACGGCGGCCTGGACTCGCATGACGGACAGTCCGAAACCAATGGCGCTCAGCGCCAGAACGTCGCGCTGATCTGATTCATGCATATACCAATCTGGAAAGAATATGGCGCGCCTATACGCCGAGCTCCAGGATCCCCATGCGCAGTTGCAAACGAAAGATCGGTAGTTCACCGCCACCTTCCCGAGAACCGATTTCAGCCCGTGATGGACATGCAGATGAACGAGCCCTTGTCTTTTTACTTCGAAGCCTTCTGGGGCGCCCAAGGACCGCGCACCCATGCTCTCCATATCCCTTTTGGGCCTCCGGTGTTGTTTCTGGGCTCTGGGGCCCTAGACGGCGGGGCCCCTCTAGTCGCCGGAGCGCTGATGGCCAAGGACGAGGTCTGATCTTTTTATTGCGCCGAAGTGCGCGAACCGATCGATTTGATCTGAGCTGGAGAAGAAGGCGAAGAGGCCGCCCGCCAAGCACCGCGCTGCACGCGTCGCCCCCGAGCTCAGCCAGGGATGCGATAGCCTCCGCAAGCCTGAGACCCAGGAACACGCTGCACCAATGAGCCGGGCATCGTCGCCAATTTGCAAGCGGTTGGCCAGCTCAATACGCACGCCACCTAGGAGGGCCCCCGAATCGGCAATACGAACTGTTGGATTACCCACCCACTTCTGACACCACCTGATCATCCTGGACAGGCTCGAACGGCACAATATGCCCACAACGGTACACCTGCGCAGTAGAGACCGAACCGAAACCTTGTGGCCCCCTTCCCGCACGTAGCTCTTCCCCTCATCGCCCTCATTGCGTCGCGTGGGACTCGTGCTTGTAGTTTGCCCACGCGCGCCCGCGTTAAGATGGGCGCTCCTTCTCCAGACACTGCTGGCCCAAGAACCCGCGAAAGGAATGGGGCCCTCTTTTCCACTGGTGGGATACCGCACTGATGCCAGCATCGCCCCATGCCATGAACTCTGGCCTCCACATCAGCCAGCCCGGCTAGAGGTTCGCCTTTGCAGGCGGCATCTGAGCGGATCTGGCCGCCCACATCTTGGCGAGGTCATTGGGCGCACCGGCAGAGGGCAGAGCCCTGGCAATAAATTTCGCACGGCCGATCTGCGAACCAGCGCCAAACAGCGCGAGCACAGACACGTTCTTAGCGGGGCGCAGGAAGCACGCGCGGCTAGGGAGACGCACAGGAAGTAAGTCGTTGTAGGAGAGGGGATTTCAAACTGAGCCCCACGTGTCTTCGCGCCGCTCGCGGGTCCGAAACGAGAGCCTTCGCGACGTCGCCCACGCATGCGTGAGAGGTCTACGTCGATGGGCTCCTCTTCTTCATCATGAAACTGTAGATCAACGACGCGCCAATCCGCCGCAAGATCCCCGCCTCCGATAAAATCGCCCTGGGTCTCTTCGAACACGGCGCCGACGTCCCGAGCGAAAGCCTCGATGGCCCACGGGCCCCCCTGGAGAGCTCCCGCGTGGGGCTCGGCGAAAGAAAAAACCCGT